TCTTTAGCCAATGCCAAACTTTTGCCTTTCTTAATCTCCAACACAAATAGCCAACTTTCAAAATCACTTTCCAGACAATATAAATCATTCACCTTCTCTACTTATCTAACGCCTTGCTTCTAATTCTAGTCATTGCTCAGTTTCTCTACATTCACTCTTTGGTGCATCTGATCACGGTTAGACCTTTCTAAAACTATAATTTTATTCATTCTTATTATTAGAATTCCCTTATTATTGTACTTCTAACCTCTACCTCAAAGCTGACTGAGACTCTTTTTCCTTGATTTTCTTTGTGATGGACCTTGCGTTGATTACCCCGTCTTCCTGCTGAAAAATGTGCTTCTTATATAACTTCTTGGATTCAGGCTGTAATCATTTATTTCCTCTTAACAATTCAAAGTCAATACTCATTCTTTGCAATTTACTATTAAAACCATTATTTCCATATCAATCGCTAAAACAATTCCCCAGAAAACAAGCGTCCGTTTATTATTACTAGACACAATTGTAAAAAGGTATTGTCTAGCGCTAAAGTCTGCTATTCTTATGTCAAAAAATTTCTGCAGCCAAATTTTTAAGATTTCATCTCAAATATTAGGGTCCAAAGTCTTCTGGAGAATCATTAATACCTTATTAGATTGTCTATAATAAAGGCAACCAATTATTTCTCAACTTTTGTTCAGATTTTGCTACTTTACATAAATACAAAGATGAATTAATTGCTAAGATTTTTGCCTCAATCTCAACTCTTAATTCCACTAATTACATCCTACCTCTTATAGCCAATAAATGGCTGTTTCATTGCTTGACATTGGTATCACTCCAGCTACTGTGTCTAAAGTGGTTTCTTGCTTAGACTCTTCTACAGCTTGTTGGCCTAGCAACATACCTATTAATGTTTTGCAGAAGTGTTCTCCGGAGCTGTCGTCTATACTTTTAAAATATTTAACAAGTTTTTTATCAAAATCTTGTTTTCTAGCATGCTGGAATGCGGCATCTTTTATCCCTATTTTTAAAAATTCTGGAGAGCAATTTTTTTAGCTAATTGTTATCGCAACAATTAAGATCTTCCTATATTAATGAACAATAATATACCTGATGAGCCATCTAATTTTTGTCTTCTTTCTTCTTGTCTTGATTAACTCTCAATTCTTTCTTAGAAACTTCAAATCAATTGCATAGTTAACATTTGTTAAAATTTCATCAATTTTATTGTGCTTGCTACTTTCTTACTGCGAATTCATTTTCTTAAGATCTTTTTCTCAATAAATCTCAAATTTGTCCTTGTATGGAACACTGTTGCCATATACGAATTTTTGAACGATGCCCTTTCTCATTCAGACAAGGTGCAAAAAATGCATTGTAAACATTCTTAAACCTTCTCTTACAGCCAACCTTCAATCATTGTCAAACTGTAGTAATGTTGCTTCTCTTTCTCTTTTTCATAAATACTATGATGGGCGCTGCTCTAAAGAGTTAACGTCTCTTGTGCCATTTTCTAAAATTTATTCTTTTGTTACTCGTCATTCAACTAAGTCTTATCTTTTTACTATGAATGTTCCTAAATAATATTAAATATTCCTATTTGTATAGTTTATTTATTGAACATAATCATTTTAAATGCCCATAGCTACACCATGTAGATTCAACTTTTATTGAAAGATTGAAATATTTAATTGAAAACATTCTCAATTAATCTTTTTAAAAGTCAAAATCGATTTTTATATTTAGGACTGACATCACGGGTTTCGAAGTAGGGGGCACAATTGTCAATTTCTAAAAAAAGTCCTCTTTAATTTGAAATTAAAAAAAAAAATCCTTCAGGAAAACAATAAAATGGGGAGGCCCGCATATCTTTCTCCCCCACTCCTGTAGCGTTGGCCATGATACATCAGTAGTTTAAAGTCAATAAGTATAAGCTCAATTATAAAATACTTTTTCATAAGTTTCAACAAATCTAAAGCTAGTCGACAAATGTATATCGTAGCCTTAAAACTTATGATGTTGTTACGATATATCAATAGCCACATATCGATGCTTTGCTGCTTGCTACAACATAACAAAAGTTCAAAAGTTACTATGTGACTATAGCCAACTATCGTCATAGCTATATGTATATACATGACGTGAGCAATTAAAAAATAAAATAATCAAAGCAACATATTGTAGTCTATATCAGTAGCTAAAAAAGCTGTGACGTGTATACGTGCCATAGCTTTTTAGCTAGCGCTATCATTAAATTATTGCAGATAACTACGATATAGCGACAAGTCTGTTAGGTACTAAAGTATTCTTACTTAAATTACAATAATAATATATATACATGTCAAATATTGTCCGTGTATGAAACATTCAAAGATATTTAATCTTTAAGTGTTTTAAAAGTCGTGGCTATCATTTTATCATAAAAGCCTACACTACCTACATTTGACAAATTAAAGCAGCCGTGGCGCACTGGTAACGCACTTGCCTCAGAAACGTAAGATACGTGGTTCAAACCCCACTTCTGGACAAGTTATGCGACATCGGTTGGGAAGGAGGCGTGAACTTCCTATTAAATGCTCTTCCGCGGTGCTCTATGGTAAGACCGTAAGGACTTCTTATGGCACCTAAATCAACATTTAAAAAAAAAAAAAAAAAGAAAAAAAAAAAACATTTTACAATATTGCTCTCCGGTTTTATTTTAATAACAATTTTAATGTAGTCTTAAACACTTAAATTGATCCAGATGATGATCTGTGTAAAACATGGACGATAATGTTTTTTACTGTTTTATTAAAAAGTTCAAGACACAAAGATTCGCAACCATCATTGGCTAAACTTAGATCGTCATTGGCTAAACTTAGATCTGACTTAACTTTATAAAATAATGAGTGTTTCATATAAAAAAGCAAATCCAATTTTTAGTATAGCATCTTAAAATTAATTCTAAGAATTTTTTACTTCTTACTAAAATTAAAATTAAATTTAAGAAGTCAATATTTTGTGGAACTTCTCTAACTAGAGTTGCTGACCGGTTTAACTAGAGTTGTTGACCGGAAGGTTTTGTAAAATTCCGGAAAAAAAAATTTCGCACAGAAATAAACAAAACAATTAAAATCTCAGATGTTCGTTTCACAAGTAATAATTCCAAAATATAATATTTCGCAGGCTAAATTTCAAAATAAAGTTTTTTTATAATATACAATGTTAGGGCTTTCGGATGTAGCATTTTCAAAACGAGCGCTTTCGCTTAACGATTTTTCAAAGTCCATTATAAAAATCTGTTACTTAATCTATTTAGTTGTAAATTTTAAACATCTTATATAACAAAATATTTGTACTTAAATGTTATTTTTAGAATCACAAAACCTTCTAAATATAAAAATTTACTTATTGAAACAATGACCATAAATGAAAATTATTGTCAAAATGAATTCTTTCTCAACATTAACTTGCGGAGCTATCACATTCAGAGAAAGGTTATGAAACATGCTATTATAGATGTATTTAATTATGTTTATAAACCATAAATGTTTAACTAACTATATATCTAAGCGCTATATATTTATCAGGGGTGTGGAGTTGTAAAAAAAAGTAACGACTCTGATTCCAATGGTTGAAATTTTTTGAGTACAACTCCGACTAAGACTCCGACTACAACTCCGACTCCAACTCTAAAGCGAAATTTTTGAAAAATTCTTTGAATTCTTTAAAAAATATTACAAAATAAGTTAAAAACATTTTTTTTGACAAATTTATGAAACGTTCTTTGAGGTTTAGTATGAACATAAGGTTAATTGAATGTTTTGTACATGCACGTGCAATACCAAGAAGTTTTACTAATGGAGTCGGAGTCACAATTTTGTTTAGCTACTCCGACTCCGACTCCGCTAAAATTGTTGCAACTCCGACTCTGACTCCGGCTCCACAGCCCTGATATTTATTGTAATTCATAAGTGTCAAATGTGTGAACAGTTTTTTTAAATTAACAAGAGTATTCATAACAATAACTTCTAAAATGTCATTTAAAAAACAAGAATTAAATAAATGTAAATAACATGAATAACAATAAAGAAAATTTAAACCCAATAAAACATATGCATGGGATTATGTTGTTGCACCAAAAATTAATAATAATTTAATAAGAAATTTGTAATGTGTCAACATTGGTACAAAAATATCCTGAAGAAAATAGTGAATGAAAGATAGTCTAATGATTCAACATAACTCTCATGTTTTAAATTCGTCTATAAAATATTATGTCAACATGTCTTTACGATTTGTAATACCTGACTTAGGGGCAAAACTAGTAAATAAGATGAGGGTGCGAATCCTTATAAAGTGCTAGCTGATTTCTATATATAAAAAAAAAAAAAACTCCTCAAAACTTAAAATCACTATACCGAAAAGTGTCAAATGCCAGACTAACCCACTATTTTTCTCAAAACTCCCCGTAGATTTGCCATTGATTTGACGATCACTAATTTGCGTGAAACTATGAGTTATATACAAACATACCATAGATATATGTATACACGATTAAAAAATCATTTGAACACATTATTTTTATTTAAACAATAAATAATAGCTTTTTTTTTTTTTGTGTGTGTAACAGTTTAATAAATGTTCCTTTCCGTAAAAACAAGTTTCAAAATACTACTTTTGTAAGAGACAGTTGCAAAAGTCTTATTTCGAAATGGATTTTTAAATTTTTGTGTGTTTTGCATAATGCTATACAAAATGTGAATTTTTGCATATATTAATTCCGTAATAGCATCTAAAATACTGTAGATAAAGATGTGAAATTTTAGCAAATCTTGTATTTCGGCGAGTAACTCTATCTTTTACTAACACTGTTAGTTATATGGTAACATCATAGTATTAAAATATTATATATATATATATATATATATATATATATATATATATATATATATATATATATATATATATATATATATATATATATATATATATATTCTAAAGAAAAAATTTTTGGGGGGGTATTTTTTTTTTAGCTTTGATAATTGAATGGTCATTAAAGGAAATAATATGTCCAGTTCAAACTTTGATAAAAATTGAGGATGCTACATTCAGTCCGGTTCTTACAAACTGTGCTTACTGTCAAAATAAAAATGTGCAAAACTGTTCACAAAACATTACTGGAATTGTTCAAAAAAAGTGTGACAGGAACAATTATTGTGTTATTCAATCCAATGTAAACTTATATGGCGACCCGTGTGTGGGGTTTACTAAATACACTAATGTTTTGTACTTTTGTTATTCAGAAGGTTAGTACTATATGGTTATTATAAAAGAAATATAAAATATATATAGTGCTTTTGTAAGTAGATATGTATGTATGTATGTATGCATGTATGTATGTATGTATGTATGTATGTATGTATGTATGTATGTATGTGTGTATGTATGTATGTATGTATGTATGTATGTATGTATGTATGTATGTATGTATGTATGTATGTATGTATGTATATATGCATGTATATATGCATGTCTCTTGATTTATGTTTGTTCTACAAAAACAATTATTAGATTGGACTAAAAAACTGTTCCCAATATGGAAAATAAAAAATCAAAATTTGAAAACAAAATAAGAAGGATGATTTTAAGTTTTGAGTTTTATATTTTCCTTTTCAATTTAAAAATGAAAGCGGTTAGATTTAACTTTTTTTTAAATATTTTTATCATATATGTATATATATGAAAAAACATCTTTATATTATCATGTATAATATTGAGTGCTCAATAGATAAACAAGAGCTTTATTGACTTATATAGCTCTAGTTTATCTATTGAGCACTCAATATAGTATGTTTATTTACTAAGTACTATATATAATAATATTGTTTATATGTTACTTTTACCCGCAGTACCAGGAATTATCTAAATGCTAATGTTAACAAAGTACCAGGAATCAGCTAAATGTTAAGTTTATTTCAGCTACCTAGCTGGTAGCAAAATTAAATTTTTATTACTTGCCTGATGATTGTGGTTACACAAGAAACTCAGAGTTGCAATATTAAATTATATTATAAACATTAGCATTCAGCTATTTTCTGATACTGCGAGTAATAGTAACATATATGCTATATATATGTATATATATATAATATATATATATATATATATATATATATATATATATATATATATATATATATATATATATATATATATATATATATATGTATATATATAAGACAAAAAAATTCCTACAAATTGCTCAGTTAGTGGCAAGCATAAACATAAACTACAAAATGAGAGATGTCAGACGTAAATCAAAGAGCTCATAATGGATTAAAAACTAGTGCATGGAGAGTCTCTGACATTAAAGTTTATCCCTTGACCAAGAATTGTTTTCGAATGAGTTTAGTCTTGTATGGTATCTGAGTAAAAACATGCTAGTTAATGTACTCACACCTGAGTAAAATTCTCGATGAAGTTAACACAAACATAGAAAAATTTCTGATCTAGCGAAATCTTTCTGATCGAGAGAAAAACTTCTAATCCTACGGCTGAAAGATAAACCACCCCCAATTCAAGAACTTCTCCAGATACAAACCGAAAATCTTTCATATCAGAACTTTTATTTAAAAAAAAATAGAGATTTGGCACCTAACATATGAAGCTTAAATTAGCGTGATGTGCAATTTAAAAATGTAAAACTTGAAGACTCTTCATAGTTTAGAGTGGCTTTGTAAGCCCAGAAATATTTATTCTTAAATTAAAAAAAAAAAATGAGATTCTGAATGAATTATTAAACGTCTATGTAAAAATACAAAAAAATTGCTTTGTTGAATCTTCCTTATGAAGATTCAAAAAATTGCTTTGTTGAATCTTCCTTATGAAGATGTATATAAATCCTTTTGTTAAAGATATTTATTACAAATTTTTCAACATTTTTTACAAAATATATTTAAAAATCTCTATTCTTGGTAAGTCTTTTTTTTTTTAGTTAACGTTAAACCCATTAGGAAATAAAAAGTATAAAAAAACTACCGTCCAACAATCTTGCCGAAAAATACAAGACTATAGCATTTCTTTTATGACCCGTCAAAATCCTTTATAATTTATACGAATGAAATTTAAAAACGTTTAAATAATAGTACCATAATTTAGTGACGATAGTTTTGAAAAGAATTACATGAAATATTTTCCTTGTGATTTTATAAATTTCGAGATCTACGGCTTTGAAGAACTCTTCTTTATTCGATTCTTGCAAACATTCGGTAAGATTTGTTCAATTTTCGATTTCCAACGATTTCTAAACAAACAGTTAGTTTGAGCAATTTTGTTTTCATGAGTCAACTGAAATAAAAAGGTTTTGAGTAACTTAAAAAGCAACAAATAAATATTAGGGAGATTAACTACATTAAAAAAAAAGTTTAAAAGTTGTTAACTATAAACAAACTAAAAAATATTAATAAAGTACACTTTTAGGCGCACACTACAGGGACGGCCGCAGCATTTTTTTAATATTTGAGATTAACTTCCAGACATGAAGCAAACTCCAAACATTTATATGTTTCTACTAATGCCAAATAATGACGTTTTCCAAAGAATCACAATTATTGGGGCCTGGGATCAAAAAACCTTAAAATTTTAGTGACACCTGCCCGAAACGTGAGAGCAAGTCGATAAAAAACTTTTTTTTACCATTCTCATATATATCTATATTCAGCGATAAATTTTAAAATTTATGCAATAATCTCGTAGCGTTCAAAAACTATGACCGTATAAAATTTACACTTCCCTCATTCTTAGGGGGTTATACATTTATTAAGACCATTATATTTGAACGCCAAAAAGTTTTCTTATGAACTTAAAAATTTATCGATAAATATGAGCATAGTTAAGAATAGTAAAAACTATATTTTATCAACTTGTTGTTTTATATTAACAACACGTTAGGGGCAGATCTTGCCAAAATTTAAAATTTTTGTTCCCAGGCTCAAATCATCATACTTTTTGCAAAGCATCCTCATTCGACATAAGTATAAATATATAAATGATTGGAGTTTGCTCTATGTCTAGAATTTAGGTATATTGAACATTGAAATATGCTGCATCAGCCCATGTACTATATTTTTTAATTAAAACAAAACTTAAAGCGGCACATGAAAAATAAAATTGCTCATACCACAAAAATAAGTTGTTTATATATTTATATGCTATACACTTAATATGTTTTATCATATAAAAATATGTAGAAAAAAGTTAAACTACTTTTACATTTACAGATTTTAGCGAAGAACTTTGGAATGTTTCTAATATAGTCACACTTAATGGGTAGGTGTTAAATTGTAAATGTAACAAAATATATTTTTGTTACATTTATGTTAAGTTCATTTAATTCAACTGTTTATTTAATTTTTCATATTTATTGCTCAATTAATAGTTTTTATAAATTTAATAGACCAAATATAACTTTAATGCATAATTTTATTTGAACTTCAATCAAATTATTGACTAAAAAACTTATCTACAATCTGTGAAATTTCCTAAAAACGTCTGTCATTTTGGTTTGTTAGTGTGCTTCAAATCAGTTTTTAAAAGCTCTTTAATATTATGATGGTGTATGAAACTCTCTATCATAATATAACAAATAATTCTTCATCATAATATTATTATACTGTCCTTGGTAACAACGTTCATAGCCCAATATACATTGATGATAACATTCACCTTACTTTCTGAGTTAAGTCCAATGTTTTTCTTAAACTTGAATGAGTAATGATATTTATAAAAGTATGTGCTGCGCAAAATAAAACTATTAAAAGGAATTAAAAATAAATAAAACTATTAAAAGGAGAGAAATTTAAATTAAAATCAACGACAGAAAATAAAAATTTTTTTGTTTGTTTGAATGCAAAAAAAGATTATATTAAAAAAATTTCATTTTGAAATTAACGAATAACTTTCAACAAGTTACTACTCTAGAAAATGTAAAGTATTTGCCCCAATAATATAAATTGTGTCATTGACGTGGATTTAGAAGCTCGCCTACGAATGAGCAATAAACGACTTTTTTAATTAAAAAAAATGGTAAGTTTAAAACACACAGTATCATTTGCGGAATATATGTTATAATTAGTATTCATTTTTTTTAATTTTATTTAGGTGCCCCAAGAAGTCCTTACGGTCTTATCACAGAGTACCGCGAATGAGTATTTAATTGGAAGTTCGCGCCTTCTTTCTAACCGATGTTGCAAGATTTGCCCAGAGGAGGGGTTTGAACGACGGATCCTTTGTTTCTAAGGCAAGTGCGCTACCACTGCGCCACAGGTGCTCAAATATTTTTATATTAATGCAAATAATATACATATTATTGCATTACTATAGCAACTACTACTCTAACTGCTCTTTTTTTTTGTTGTTCGTTATTACATTAAAATTTTTATATAAATGTACAGAAAGTAAAAATGTTTAAAGTTGAAGATTATGTTAAAATAAAGATAGAAATTAAATAAAAATAAAGAACACGGAAACTCAAAGGTCTTGTCATGAGAACCGCTGAAGTTAGATGCGTTTATTGAAGTTGATGTACACTCATACAAAATAGTTTTTTGTTAATAAAAATAGTATTCGTAGTTTTCATCAAATTAACTTGAAATATGGTATGTTCCACACTAGAATCATCTTTGGATTTTTTTTTCTTCAGTATATCCCTATTATCTTTTTTCATTTTTCTTCAAAATTTATTTTTTCTTCAATCATTGTAAAGCACTTTAGGAATTATATATTAGCAATAATGCATTATTGAGTAGATTATTATTACGCATATATATATATATATATATATATATATATATATATATATATAAATTTATATATATATATATATATATATATATATATATATATATATATAATATAGGTATTGTGGTTTATCCTCCTCCAGCTAATTGCCATACGGAGGCCACATTACCAAGGACCGCAAAGACAAGTTCAGCTAATAAATAGCGTCATTACCTGCTCTACGGACCAAGAGTAAAGTGAGTTTAGGAAGAACGAAGAATGTTAGAGTAAAAGACAGAAAAAGTCGTGTTAGAAAGATAGCATACAGAAAGCGGACAGGAATGCACACGATGTTAGAAGGTGCAATATGTTACTATACACATAATTGGCTTAAGCCAATTAATGTATGCAATATATATATATATATATATATATATATATATATATATATATATATATATATATATATATATATATATATATGTATGTATATATATATATATATATATATATATATATATATATATATATATATATATATATATATATATATATATATATATATATATATATATATCGTCGGGGATAGTGCAAACCGCGTAATAAGCATTGGCTACAATTAGGGTAAGGACTATTGCTATTGTTATTGTCAAAATTAAATACAATAACAATTACAATATAATAATATTGTATTGTAATACCAGAGATGCAATTAAAACATTATTTATGGTTATTGCACTGTTGTGAATAAAAACAGTTACAATTTTATCGGGGTTTTTGTCTAACAATACATTAAAGCTCTAAAACTATTGTATTGTATTGTTGCGATGTAAAACAATTACAATAACTATTGTATTGTATTGTTGCGATGTAAAACAATTACAATAACTATTGTATTGTATTGTTGCGATGTAAAACAATTACAATAACTATTGTATTGTATTGTTGCGATGTAAAACAATTACAATAACTATTGTACTGTATTGTTGCGATGTAAAACAATTACAATAACTATTGTATTGTATTGTTGGGATAAAAAACAATTACAATAACTATTGTATTGTATTGTTGGGATAAAAAACAATTACAATAACTATTGTATTGTATTGTTGGGATAAAAAACAATTACAATAAGTACTGTGGTGTGTTGCATTCCCAGTGGGCACTGGACTAAAACGTTCAAAAGACGTTCAAAAAACGTCTAAAACGTGAATAAGATGTTTAAAAGACGTCTTTTTTACGTCCGTGTCCACTGGGATTACTAATTTAAAATCTAATACCTATTGTGTTTTATAGTATTTAGATTCTTTTTCACGCATTTAGTTTTATTTGGGCACTAGATAATTTAGCGGTGCCCATGACGCTCGTTTTCAGCAGTCATTTATATTTATAAATTTTATTTATTTTGAGAAGTGAAGTGAAGCCAGGAAAGTCAAAGAAGTATATATATTACGTATACTTAATAAATATTAGGCTCATGGGTGCACGTGGCACCCGTTTCTAGCAACCTTTTACATATATAAATATTATTTATTCTGAGTTCGATAATTTATCTGTTTAAATAATAATTTATTTAGAATTAACATTAATAATATTCATTTAAAATCTTACAAATATATAATTTATCATATGCTTGTAATTAAATAATTATTTACTTTAAGAAGTAAAATTTTTAATTTTTTTATAATTTTGCCTAAACTGACATGTTTGTCCAGATGATGACGTCTAAACTAATTGATTAACTACATTAAGCGCGTGAAAATAATTTTTTTTTCAATATATCTAACCGCTAATGTGTAATTAAATACATCGTTATGGAGTCAGAGAACCATTGACCTGGGTAATTATCGATTAAAAATGTAAACTACTTTCGTTTTGTTAAAAGATTTTCTACATTTTCAGATTGTTCATTACCTATCAAACCGTGCCAGTAAATTTTGTGAGAATCATTTTTGAAAAATGAGGCAGTTTAGAACACCAAATAAACATTGTTCTTGATTTATGGAACAAAACTCTTTTATAAATTTGCAACTAGATGCCCAGTTACTTTATGAAACACATATAGCCATAAAGCCGAAGGAAAACAAAAGACAAAGTTATATTAGAGTAAGTGTGAGTTAAGTTGGTTTCGAAGCAATTGGATAGGTGCCTAATGTAAAAGCAAATAACTTAGTGGAAGAAATGGTAGTAATTAATCATGTCTATCCCCAGCAGTAAAAGAAATGCAGCTCCAATTAAACTCACTTTTATAGAGCTATATAAAGTTTGCAATGAGGACAAGTGATATTCAGTAAATAAAAAAGAAACAGAATCAATGCCTATTTCAAGTACCCTATTTCATTACAAGTACCCTATTTAATTACAAGTACCCTATTTCATTACAAGTACCCTATTTCAAGTTCACTTATCTCAGAGACTGGACTGTTAAAACATTTATTAAATTTCGATACTAAAACAATTTTTTTTATTACAATAAAAATATATTGTTATTGTATTATAAAGACGAATTACAATGCAATATTTATTTTTATTGTAGTGTGTCATTACAATACTTTTTTTTTTCAGATATTGTTATTGTTTTATAAAGATGAATTGCAATACAATATTTATTGTTATTGTATTACAGTATTACAATAGTTTTAAATCACAAATATTGTTGTTGTTTCTAAATTAAGTTAATACAATAACAATAGTTATTCTTATTCTTATTGTTTTCATTAAAATTACAATAGTCCTAACCCTAGCTACAATAACATTACTACAATTTTTTTACAAAACACTGGTCTACAAATTTTTATGAAAACTGCTGATATGCAAATAGGTGTTTCTTACACAACTTTTTATGCTGATTCCAAATATGTATTCTAATTTTTTGTGTCACGTCAGGAGTTTTTGCACTTCGACATTTGTTAATATAGAAAAAAAGTCAATAAAACCAGCAACAAAATGTACTTTGGTCATGCAGAAAATAATGGTATTTACAAAATTAATAACAAAAGCATGATATAAATACAGATATATATTTATATATTGTCTTCTACTGTGTGAATTGTCTTTTGAGTGATTTTCGCAAATGAGCAGCACCAGGATTATGGCATTTTAATGACCAGCAATAGTCGGCCATCATATTCCAACAACCTTGGTATCGACTCTCAATTGCACAAATTTTCGGATTGTACCTTTCACCCTGCTCTTCACTGTATGCACCAAAATTTTTCAGGAAAGTAGTCAACATGGGAGTTTAAAAAGTATTCTCTGATCTGCGATCCAACAAAGATACCTCCAGCCGATTTCGCTTCACTTAAATGTGGAAATTTGTTTGACGAATATTTGAAATCCAGAGCCAGTATGGGCCATATTCTTGACATTAGCTTTCATAAACCCCAATTTTATATGAAGTGGTGGGAGGAGAACTCAATGTGCTTCAATAAATAAGGCTGTAACTTGACACTGTGACTTCCTGAAGTGAATCCTTCTCTCGTAGGCCACACTTTTTTGGGAGTCTGCTCTGCTATCCCAGAGGCACAAAAAACTTGGAATTTTTGAATACT